CATGGTTGAAGTGTCTTAGGTCAGCAGGTCTGTCAGGTCTGGTTGCCCAGATTCCAGACAAGGTCGGGGAGAAAGAAGGAAAGAAGAAAGAAATTTAATTTGAAATTCGGTTTTTAACGCTTCAGCGTGCTTCTGCCAGGTCATTTCCTTATCAAGATTGAAACCAAAATACTTAGCAGAATTTTCTCATCTCCAGGAAGACGACTGGCTCAGTAGGGCAGTGTCATCATAGAGATAGACTTCACCGTTGCTGGGGCAATGGACGTCATGAATAAATAAAGGATTGGTATAAGAAGCAAACCCTGAGGGACGCCGGCTCTGTTATACCGTCTAGTTGACAGAGCGTTCTTACTTTTGGTCCGAAGTTTCCTACCCCCAAGGAATCATTTCAAAAGTTTTAACAGCCAGGGTTTTTTGATCACTTCGTAGTGGAGGCACACCCTATCAAATGCCTTCGAGAAATCCGGAAGCAAGATGCCAGTACTTCCGTTAAGGGTGGAGCACCTGGTTATTCGCTCAACAAGCCTGTAACTTCATACTCTGCTCAGACCGAGAGCCAAATTGCATGTCAGGAATCACATTGTGGTTTGACGAGAAATATTCAAGGTGAATCATCTTTTCAGCGAGCTTAAAAGTAGATTAATGGTGCTGCGAACCTGGTGGAATATCGAAAACACCTGCTTTGGAATCATTATAACACCAGCGGTCATTCACGCCGCTGTGAAATACAGGTATCCTTTAATGTGTGTTGCTGGTCCCACTGCTGGTACATCTGATACGACCAGCTGGACTAGCAGAACCATCACCACCAGGGGCATCGTAAGCAGGACCAGTAGCATACAGGAATACCACCTTTTCGCACAATTAGCAACATTTTCCCACGCTCAACCGCCTCATACTCTACTAGATTAGATTTTTAATGTAATTTGGGGGTAGATTATTTGATTTGCGTTTCATGCATTTGCAAGAAATGATACATAATCCATCACGTTCTAGTTTATATTTCAGTATTCATTTCATTTGAAAACCAAAGCCACAAATTAATGAGCCTGCTTCTACGTGCATTTCCTTTTCCATAATTATCTTCCTTCTGGTTACAGCCCTCTCTAGGTATGATAGTCATAAGTTTTCACTTCGGTGTTTTTGATGCACCTCCATTTGGGCCTGATGAAGCCAATAAGCAGAAACGTACGTCGCTCGGGTTACCAATCCTTCTATTTCTGCTCCCGTTCCATTATTGAGGACATACCCACGATTGTCCTTTGTTTCTTAATATTAGGTTAAAACGACATGAAATAGATCTTACACGTGACTAATACCGCAATGTCAGTTTGCAAAAACTTGACAAACAATGCAGCTCAATTAGCGGTGTCTTTACAATGTAAAAATAATTCCGCCAAGTATGAAAGGTTCAAACAATGAACCTTTTTTATATAACTACCATTTATCAGAGCACCTTGAATTACAGGTATCCGTTCGAGAATCAATTAATTACAAAGCCTTTATTTGCTATAGTGTCCTAAGGGAGTTTCCGTGTCGCATATTTGTGGAGTATCTAAGTTCACTTAATCAACAGGAGAGATTCGCGTCATAGTTCCCGATATTACAAAGACCTTCGATCTGCGTGGTATGCTGCTCTCCTCAGTGGCGGATTTTGGAAATGGTATTTAGGACATGGCGCAGTGACGGTCCCAGGATTCATGTTGAGAAACCTTTTCGTCCCGAAAGGGGGGTGGGTTGCCGCAAATTAAAGTTTGAAGACGGGTATCATGTAAAAAACCTATAAAAAGTCAAAAAGATGTCAACTTGCAGACTAGGTAGTTTTCAGGGCGCAAACAGTCATTCGACGTTTGCTCACTAGGATCGTTGAGAACGTCATCTATGGAGGAATCACTCAACTAAACTACTGATCCGGGTCTCTAGTTTTTATCTCTGAGAAGAAAGTTGGTTGAATAGCAAGATAGCATCTGGATTATGTGTAATGGTCTGCATATGTATAAAATCAGTGATATTTGCTGTGTGAGAAAATCATTACTGAATATGCCGAATATGACGGGTTATTTATATGTTGTGCTTTCTGAAGAGAGGTTATGTCCAAAGTTATATATGACGAAAAACTGAGGAGGATTACGCTTAACCATCAACGCGCCCGCGTTGTGTGTAATTACTATTGGTATGTATATGTTTGTAATTCGACAGTGTACAGTGAATATAATTATTTCCTATCTCTCATTTTTGAAATTCAGCAAACTTGTATATGTAATTTCCAGAATGGATAAGACAAAGTGGATGCGCAACTAATTTCTAGCTTTAAACCTCAATTAAGTGTGTTTGAGTCAAGAAGCCAATGTAATTATCATCAACACATACAACTTACAGCTTACCTCCAGTAATGCCATCTAGAAGCAGATTTTACATCACATCAGAGCCAAAGATTGATAACAAGCCGCATGACGTTTAGGCAACACGTACAACTAAGTGATAAGTTAACATCTTGTATAATTACCTACATAATGTCAAAAAAACAGCACAATGTCGAAAAAAAATCGGCATAGTGTCACTTTCCAAGATAAGTGATACCCATGCGGAGATGGGAGTGCTCAGACTGATGTCTTTGTGACATCTTCACAATTCAGAGCTAGAAGGGTGATTTTCACTCCATAATACAGGCGTCTAGGAGAGAGAAGAGAACAACTCCCGCACTATCTCCTGAATCTGCTGATGGATCTCTTCCTATCCAAACATTAGTCATACGGTTTCCTAGGCACGCTTTTCTAAAAAGTAGCAGACATAAGAATATCCGTTGTACTTGGTGTGTATGTGTGTTCGTCCCACAATATCAACACAGGCTTCAGCTTCGACTTAAAGTAGTTTATGCTGAACATGAATGATTTACTTACGAAAGTGACAAATCCAGCGCACTGTCTTAGTAGCAGGATAATATATTTAGGGAAGACAGGTAGCAACCTTCTCGCTTATGGTCCAGCCATTTTCTGTTCTAACTCGGCCGTACGATATAGGTAAATTAAGTCCTTTCGATGCGATTGTTAAGGAACGAAACATTTGTAAATGATCAAAGGCATTCCTGATTTTACATTTCTCAAGTAACTCAAAGCTTCTAGCGACTGGTATATCAGTTGCGATACTTCAGCTCCGCTTTCGCAATTGCTGAGTAGAAGAGAAGGTAGATATGTACTGGAACGTCTACAGGGAATTGCTGGCTAGAGAAAGGATCGATATGACCGTAACTGTCATATCCACACTGGCAGTGAACGAGATTTTTTGTGCTCTGTCATATTCAGACTTGTTTGGTTTGGGCTATGAAGTATGTACATGTACGAGGGTAATCCAAAAAGTAGGGTCTCCTATTCTTTAAGCTACAAGCCATTGCATTTCCAATAATTGGTATATCATTATAATGATCCTAAGGTCCTTTGGTCGGATCTGAATTTTCTTCTAGCTACATGTGCTTTGTAGTCTTACGAAATAGGTGTAAGAACTGTAATACACTGAACAAACTGTGACTACAACCTGTTCCTTAAGTTGAAATAATATTTGTCAAGGATATTCAGTTTTGACGACGTAGTGAAAAATGAGGTTGAATGCTTCAAGCAGCTGGCGGCTAAGTGACGTACAAAAACTGTCATAGCGTCTACAAAAATGTATCGACTGGAACAGTAATTATGTAAAATAATGGAGCAATATTTAAGGCTTATGCATCAATTATTGGAAATAAGTAGATTCCATACTTGAATAAAGACCTTACTTTTGGGTTTACGCTTGTAAGATCTTTTTTAATTCATTTCAGAAAATATACCAATGGATAGTGAAAGAAAAGCTCCGCTTGGTTATACATTTTTAGGCACAGTATCATTAAATTTGAGGAGGGGCGACTGTAGGGAGCTTTTGTGTAAGTACGGAAAGCTTCAGTTGGATTGTATTACTCATTTTTACTTCCTACGCCTACAGGTCAGGGAGTATTGTCATCGCGATAAATTTCGAAAGTGAGATATTATGTTTTTGGATGATATTAACTTGTACATCACGGAAAACCATGTCACTCATTTCTGTCGGTCTGTGGGTCTTTCGCTTCGATTTGGATGAAAATTCCGCATGAGGTTACTAGGACTAGGACAACGACGAAAAACCTTTGTAGTTTTCCAAAATAGATCTGGTGGTGGCGAGGAAAAATGCCAAAACGGAGAAAAAGAAAATCGTAATTTTTTGATGTTAACATATTAATACTCTTCCAATCCTGGTAATTCTACGCACTTATTAGACATATTCCACACATCGTATATTTGCCTTTAAAACATATAAAAACACTTTCAGCAGACGGATCGCGTACCTATCCGTCGCACTTGCCTGGCGCCACGGGATTGTAAATATTGCATTTTTTGTAGTGGATCTGAGGGACTTTCAAAAGCAGGTAGCAGACGGTGCGGTCACGCGATATGCACATACGAGGTGGGCGCAATATTATCTATATATACGAGTTTTATGCTTGAAGTATAATTTGATGAAGTTACTTGATTTCGTTAGGCAATATTAAATAGAATAAGTAGTTACGTATCAAGAGCTAATATAATCAGTTATCAAATATTCTTGGCAAACAGTTCTTCACCAGACCTACAAAGAAATGAAGATACGCTCCTTGCTGCATTCTGAGGATTCTTTTCATGAAGAGCCCAGATAGAAAACGTTTCGAAGGCGTAGAAAATAGCAGAAAGTAGAGTAAAATGGATCTTACGGTCACTATCAGAAAGCTTCAATGGCAAGTTTTTACAAAATAATTCCATTAAACAATCAAACAGCCTATGCCAACATTCTGAAAGATATTTCGCGATAGATGTCAAGCATTTATATAAAAACATGCTTCTTTTACCACCCTCGTTGATGCGCAAATATGTTGACTCTTCCTTGGGAAAGTTTTCCGTGTAGTTTATTTTCATCTACCATAGTTAATAAATACCATCATCATTGCAGAAAATACAACTTACAACGCAACAAAGCTTCGAAATATCTTCTTCACGTCCAACTCCGTGTGCACAAAATATCCTCAAAGCTCAAGTTTTCCCGTTCGTCGGAAAATAAAAATTAGCGCGTAAACCGCGACCGAAGGCGCTCGCTCTCTCTCTTGACGTACGCGACGCTCACCGTTTCTCCTTTCAGGCGAAGAAAACGAACTGAAGAAGTGAAGATGGAAGAACAGCGGCGCTGGCGGACGTCGGCGAGTACGGATCTTCAACGGCAGGCATACTAACCGAGTTTCGAATCGGATGGCAGACGCGGAGAGTGGGTCAGCGTGATGTCATCCGGTTTAGCGGATCCATTCGCGACGACGGGGAAATTCGTGAGAGATATGCTGGGATTCCTGTTCGATTTGCCTATGAAGGATGAGCCCAATAATTGTTATAGCAATAATAGTGATAATAATAATAGTGACAATAATAATAATAATAGCTGCACAACGTCAACAATATACGAGCCCGTTCCCACTTCAGTTGGCCCAACTATTGAAATCTTAGTTTTTTTCTTATCAAACACAAATAATAAAAATGTAGCAGGGTGTTATAAGTTTAAAATATTAACAATGAATATTTTGATAATATATAGTAGAAAACACCAACTTTATCACTGTCTAAACAAATTTGCAGCATAAAAATAACACGTTGCAATTAAAGCATATCAACCTATTTTCATTTCAATGCAAAATAAGTCTATAACACATAGGTGGCTGTGAAAAATAAAAGCCATGACAATTGTTTTTATTAATCACAGCTGTCAGAATACGTTTAAAATACTTTTGGATAGTTGAGGTTCAAAATGGGTGGCGGAAAGATTATTAGTGAGAAAATTCGGTTACTGATAATTCAAGTTTTTAATTCTGGGAAATCAAACCCAGAAATTGCAACTTTGTTAGACTCTTGAATAACTTTAATGCGGTCTTCAATCGAATACAACTCCATAGCGATCAATGGTAAACATTCAACTAACAAAATGACATGTCGGTGTCAGAAAACCAAGATGGCGTCTATGTCAAATTGATGTTTACTTGTCTGCGTCCCTATTGGACAACCCTTTATAATGTTTTTTTACATTTTTTGTGTGCAATAGTGAGTAAATGATATCGGAAAAGCCCAGCGACGTTTAAACAGCCCATACTATCAATGCTCCTTGAGGTATGGTCATCTATATTTTTTTAATTATCTATCCGACGGCAACAATCATTTTGTATTTTTTGTAGTCGTTATGGCTTGATCTAAACATGGAAAATAAAAGGCAATGCAATATAGACTTTAGGATATAACTATGCTTGCGCTTTTTTCAAAAGAATGGTGCATATTATTCTTTAATAAAATATTTTTCGTTTTTTTGCTGAAAATGATAATTGTAGTTTTTTCAGCGTTAAGTTTAAGACCATTCTGCTTTCCAAAATCTGAACTGGCATTTAAAACACTATTAATTAGAGAAGCTGAATATTCAAAATTTTGGGGATAAAAAGATATACACATACATCGAATCGTCAGCGTATGTCACTGCATCACAGCATTTAACTACTTTAATTATGTCTGATGTATACGAGCCCCTTCCCAGATCAGTTGGCCCAACTATTGAAATCTTAGTTTTTTTCTTATCAAACACAAATAATAAAAATGTAGCAGGGTGTTATAGGTTTAAAATATTAACAATGAATATTTTGATAATATATAGTAGAAAACACCAACTTTATCACTCCCTAATCAAATTTGCAGCATAAAAATAACACATGTTGCAATTACAGCATATCAACCCATTTTCATTTCAATGCAGAATAAGTCTATAACGCATAGGTGGCTGTGAAAAATAAAAGCCATGACAATTGTTTTTATTAATCACAGCTGTCAGAATACGTTTAAAATAGTTTTGGGTAGTTAAGGTTTTCAAAATGGGTGAGAATCGTGAGAAACTTCGGTTACTGATAATTAATTTTTTTAATTCCGGGAAATCAAACTCAGAAATTCAAACTTTGTTAGACTTATCGCTGTACAGTGTGAGAAATATTGTTAGAAGATATAACGTAACTGGTTCAGTTAATATGTGAAAAAAAGTAATATCACAAATGCCGACCGAAGAGCATTAAGAAGAATAATCCTGAAAAACAGGCGTGCCAATTATTTACAATTCAGTGCTCTGTGGAGTGACGCTGTTGGAAGGAGAATTTGGAGGACCACAACTCATAGAGAGGCCCACAAACTGGGATTTAGCATCTGCAAGGTAAGTTATCTTTTAAAAAAAAGTGAAGCAAAAACCTTAAAGTTGCACAACTTGTTTATAGGCCAAAGAAAAGCCACTATTAACTCCGCTGCAAAAGAAAAATCGGCTTAGATGGGCTAAAGAACGTATACAATGGACACCTCAAGAATAGTGTGCAATACAATGGACTGATGAGGCCCGATTCGAAGTTTGTGTTGGTGACAGTAGCAGTAGAGTTATTCGCAAAAAAAATTAAGCATTCCATGTTGACTGTCTGAAGAGAAAAGTGAAATTTCTAGCATCCATTATAGTCTGGGGCAGTATGTTATCAAAAGGAGTAGGAAAAGTTCATTTTGTTGATGGAAATGTGGATACAAACAAATATTTGGCAATTTTAGAAGAATCGCTTTTACCAGTGATGGAAGAATGTTTGACATCCGGCCAAGATTTGGTGTTTCAGCAAGATGGTGCAGCGTGCCGTACCTCAAAAAAGGCTATAAAATTGATGGAAGAAAATAATGTACCACTTTTGAAATGGGTTTCTGGCAGTCCAGATCTGTCATCTATTGAAACTTTGTGGCACGAGATGAAAAAGGTTCTACGACAACATCCTGCTCGTACAATCATCGAACTGAGACAAAAGCTTCAAGAAATATGGGATTGTTTTACACCAAATTATTGCCAAAACTCGGTTAACACTATGCCCCAAAGGATTTCAGCCGTAATAAAAAATAAAGGTGATGTGACCCAATGGTAATCTTTGAATTGTTGCTTTGTTAACTTCGCGCATTTATTCGCACATTGTTTATTTGTTAAGATGTTCTATTAGTTATAGGTATAAGTGATTTCAAATATGTATTTTTTACGACTAGAGTGTATCTAAAATGTTTTTGAGAAAATAAATTGTTTTAGAAGTAAATAGTTTCGTCAAGTTTAGTTTATAGAGGCATATTTTGGTACAAATCTTGAAGTGGACCAACTGAAGTGGGAAAGGGCTCGTACAATACCATCACGGGCGGAAATGTTGGCTCAGTGGCAGCAAGATGCTTTGCAAGTAGATGCAAGAACAACTAGCGCGAAGTACAAAGTTCCCACTGACCAGAATTTGGATTGGGGAATCATATCGTAAGTGTCTGTAAAAAGATCATTTAAGCATTTAGAATTATGTCTAGGTATTTAGGCACTGAACATTTTAAGATTGTGTGTTACGCAAACATTTATTCCATCCGTAGACATGGAGGGCAGCAGTGACTCTGTCAGGGCGTTCAGAGCACAAAAAAGATCAGTGCACACTATGCTGTCTCTGCGAAATGGACAAACTTGCAGAGAAATGTCTAGCGAGATGAATATTCTCACTGTGCCAGGTACTTATATTTTTGAGTGTACACTGTTTTTAGCTATACAAGGCACAGTAGCTTGATTTACCATCGACACAGACTTACCACAACGAAAAAGTTCACTGCTTACTCGTGTATAGTTTTTATAATAAAATATCGCATCACGTAAGGGAAAATAATTTTTATATCTTTAAGAATAGCGTAAGGAATACACTTATAGAATTGGAACATTATACGTTGCAGCAATCTTTAGATCACAATTTTTATCGGTTACACATTCAATGTAGTGTCATTGTCTTATTTATTAGAAGAAAAGTGATCTGCTTTTTGAGTTTGAATTTTAAATGCCTACAAATATAGTGTGCCCATGAGCGTATAACTTATAAGTGTATTATTAATAAAAACTGAACAAAGGAAAGAAACATTATAACGTACAGCTCTGTAAGAACAGACTAACGAGCTTACGGACACACGGCAGATTCATGGTCTTGTGATCAAGAGGGACATTATTATAGAGACTAGCAGCATTGCAGGAAAATGAGCATTGGAAAAGCGAGTGATGGGGTATTCTAATATTCAAAGGTTCTGTTGCGTATTCCACTAGAAAAAATAAGTTTTTCTCTTAGACACTTGGGTTTACCGATTGCGAGCAGTTTATGGAAGAAGACCAAATACTGCAAATTAGTCAAACACTCGAGCTTCATCTACCAAGTGTGTTGTCAGCATGGCTATTATGATCGAGTTTTCTTAAGCCATAAGTGAACTTCACATAGTTACTTTAAGACACTTGTGAACACCTTTTAGTCTGCTGATCAAAGCAAGGCTGGTAAAGAATACTACAATAATTAATATTTGAGAGAACAAAGCATATAGCTAGCTTTTTTCGCAATGCAGATGTCAGAAGACGTCTTGCATATAAAACACATAATATCCAATTGGATTTTTGTAGTGAATTTGCCTTACGACAGGTTTTATATTTCATTTTTAATCTTTCAACGAAAAGCATACTGATCTAACATGCTATAGCGTTCTAACGATTTATTGTTAAATTTAAGGGCTTTGACGTACAAGAATACTCACATTTGACTATTTGACGACCTGTCACTCATCATTCTTACAGATACTGATCTTATATTCCACGAATGTCTCCCCGTTCTATTGTTTGTGAAAGTTTCTCTCTTTTTTCCATTTTCAGGTAATCTTTGTTCTGATATCGTCTCTGCGTTTTAATCTACGATTACTTGTGATAGATAAATCTTTTTCCATGTCCTAACATATCCTTTCTGTCCTCCATCTATATTCTCTGGTTATTTGGAAACTTCTGATGAAGTCTTACTAGAGATATAACAGCTTTAATCATATGGGAGCTGGAGAACAGAGGTACAATCTGTATGGAAAAGAGAGAGAAGGAAACTTAGAGCAAATGCTTTCCAAGTAATGGCCAAAAATAGGTGAAGTCTATACCAGGCACCAGCTTACAGTAGGCACTACATACAGCAGATAAAGAATGGATTTTGATAATAGTGGTGGAAGACTATCATCATTTTAGTGGTAGACTGTTTCTCGTCTACTAGCGTTTAGGGGATGGGTTAAGTGAATGTTCAGGTTTCGGATTCGACTGCTGATCTAAATCTCCAAGTGTTGGAGAACGTGCCGATACAGAGAACCTATGGTTGAAAATTTGTTCATACACTTACCGGTAGTAGCTGTAACTGCCGTGTGTTATAAATAATTACGACTCGGATTTTCTACTTTACTGTCTCGCATATT